CGTAACTTTCTCAGGTTTTAACACTCTGCAGATTTCTGACCAAATACCCCTGGCCTGGAAGGTTCATTTGTCTATTGGGTTGACAGTGCTTCCCCCGAAATATCCCCTACACTGATGTATGGAGAGGAAACAAAATGTGTTTCTGGCAGCAGTCAGGTGTCCAAAGCTGCCATTAAAACTCAGTCTCTGGATTTTCTATACTAAAATCAAGCCTTGATTATTCTGAACTGAAAACGAGCTTTTGGCCTGTTTACTGTCATAAATCACAATATAAACATCTTATTCCATTAATACTTAAGGGGTTCGCAGTCACTTGTCCTCTGCCAGATACAGGATTAAGTCACTTCCAGATGGACCAATTGACCCCTCTTTTTAAAAAAAGTTCTCCACAAAAGTAACCAGCACTATATGCCACTATTTTGAAATCCAAATTCTAAAATTACATTTATATCTTCTTTTACATTATACATATAAAATTTTAATAACGTTTTTTAGGTTGTTGACTTGCTCGCTAATCTGACTTGTTTTTGTTCAGACGTTTCGTCACCATGCTACGCAACATCATGTGAGGCCTCCAATGAAGCAATGTTGTTCTACTCTGCTTGGAATTGAAACTGTCCTGTCTGTTGCAGTGAGTTTTATCATTTCCAATTTTGATCTAAATTCTACCATTTTATGGGTCACTGTTCCCTCAAAGATCCTTTCTGATATTATTTATTTCACACATCTCATTTTATATTACCAGATGCAAAAAGCCTGATCAGTGGTTGGATCCACATTATTCTTGGAAATGGTCCCAAATCACTATGAATTCTTCCTCATGGCTTCCTTTGCCTATCCAATCTAAAGATTAAAGATTAAAGACACCCAGGACTAATACACTGCCTTTGTCACATGGCCTCTAGATCATGATTCATTCTCTGCCCCACCGAATAGATACCGTTAGGGAGCCTATAGACTACTTCTATCAGCATCAGCTTTTCCTTTTTTTCCTACAGCCACCCAAACGAATTCTATATCCTCTGATCCAAAATCATTTCTTGTTATTATCATACTTATTCCAAGGTTTTGGAGTAGATCTGTAGCTCGGGTTGTGGATGTTGAGGTTGGGTGGCTCACCGAGTTGGTTTGTTGTTCCGCAGACGTTTCGTTCCTGTGCTTGGTATCCATTGCAACGGACCCCAGAGTTTAAAAACCAAGCGGGAAAACACACCGATGTTTCATCAGAGGCTGCACTGAGGATGTTACCATGCACGGTAACGAAACGTCTGCGGAACAACAAACTAGTTCGGCAAGCCAACCAACCTCAATACTTATTCCATCCAATGTTAAGAATGCTACCCCACCACCCTTTACTTCCTACCTGTCCTTTCAGAAAGTCACATAACCGTGAATATTTAATTTCCAGCTTTAGATTCCTTGTAGCCATGTCTCTGTAATAGCTATAAAATCATATACATTAACCTACATTTGTGCTGTTAATTCATCTATTTTGTTCTGAATACTATACACACTAAAGAGCTATTAATTTTTCCTTTTCATCATTTTTCTTTCCCTCTTATACTCTATTAACCACTGTTTTTTCTAAGTTTGTACACTTTGTCCCTTCTTGTCCCACTGTGGTTATTATCATCCAAATAGCTGCCCTGTAATGTTGACATACCCTCTTGTTTTGTGAGCCTACATTTCTCCACTTCCAAGCACTTCCCTCTACCCATTACCACCCCTCAATGCCTCATTAGTTTAATGCTCTCTCTACAGTCAGTTATTCGATTCACCAGAACACCAGGCCCTGCACGAGTTAAGCACTAAACTCACTCGTGCAAGACCAAAACCCACATGCCACTAGTTCAAAATGCAAACTCTAAAATAAATCATTTTCAGACCATGGACTAAAGAAAAGTGGACACAAGATTTTTAAAAAAAGAGCAGAATAACAAAAAGCGTTGTTTGCAGCTTGGAAAAACAAGTAAAGCCAACTGATTCATTTGAGACAATATTACATTTTGAGGACATTGCGTCAAGGTAAGCTGGCATCATCTGTTCTGGGTTCAGGATTGGTCAGGTTGTAGTTTACCACAGACTGGGGGAATTGAAAACAGAAGTAAACCTTGAGAAGGCAGCTCTCCCATCACCCTCCAACATTCAAGAACTATACAATTCACTAGCATCTGAGAAATGTTAATCTGATTTTGCCTGAAGCATGTCCATTTCTCACCAAGCATGGAATATTGTTGCTCCATTGTTTTTGAAGAAGTTGAACAGTCCAGTACAGCTCACCATGAGATCCATTGCTGGGTAATCTCACATGCTTCAAGGTAAAATTTGGAAACAGAAAACAGCAAAGGTAGGCCATTCAGCCCTTCAAGCCTGCTGTCATTTATTATGTTTATGGTTGATCATCTACCTCAATCCGCTGTTCCCTATTTTCCGACACATTCTTAGGATTCAAAATACTTTCAATGCATTGAAGAAATCAACACAGGCAGCTGTAGATCAGTAGTAGCGTTCTCACTCAAGTGAGAGCGTTCAGTTTTTAAGCCCAGTCAGAGATTTCAGAATAGAATTTAGGGCTATGTCAGCCATAGGTGTCATATTTTTTAAAATTTTAAAACAAGTATCATGACTTTACTGGAAAGTTAAGAGTGTGTCAAGATCAATGCTCCACTGTTCTACAAGCCATCATAAAATGTATAAAATCCCAATAAAACTGTCAAAATGACCCATTTGACTGACTGACTGTTAATCAGGACACAAGTAATTCACATGGGATTCGTTATTACAGAAAGGATGTCTATTTATTGCAACCCATTTAAACTCAACAAAAAGACAAGGGTTTCTATTCTATTATGTGACTTAAACTACATCCCTTCAAAATTTCCAAATACTCTTTCAATCACGATTACAGACAAAACAAAGACTGATAGAACTACGGATGCTGTAAATCAGAGACAAAAACAGAAATTGCTGGTAAAACTCAGCAGGTCTGGCAGCATCTGAGGAGAGAAATCAGAGTTAACATTTCAGGTCAAGTGACCCTTTCTCAGAACTAATGGTAGCTAGGAAATTGTTGGTTTATACGCAGAAGATGGGGTAGGGGGGAGGGGTTAAGGAGTGAACATAACGTGGGCATAGAATCCAGAGAGAAGAGGAATTGGACAAGGAGTGGATAACAAATCTGGCTATGAGGGTGAATAGCTATTAATGGGGACTGTTAGTGGCTAACAATGGGTGGTGTAAAATAGCAGACTGTGATAACAATGCCTGGTTTGTGGGGGTTGGGGTATAGACATGGGAGAGTTCAAGCCCCGAAGTTATTGAAATCGATATGGAGTCTTGAAGGCTGCAGGGTCCCCAAGAGGGAAGCTGAGATGTTGTACTTCCAAGATAACAAGGTGTACAGCTGGATGAACACTGCAGGCCAAGCAGGCCTCTTTGACCTGTCTGTCTCCTCTCCACCTATCTTCTCCTCAAGCCACCTCCCCCTCTCTCCCTATTTATTTCAGAACCCCCTTCCCCTCCCCCATTTCTGAAGGGTC